CCTGCATGAAGCCCTGGGTTTTATCTCCAGTACCACATAAGCCAGTAGTGTATGACTATAATCCCAGTACTGAAGAGATAGAGGTAAAAGTATCAGAGTTCAAGGTCATCTGGGCTACAAAGTAAGTTTGAGGCCTTGGTTACATGAGTCCCTGCCTATAAATAAATAAATAAATAAATAAATAAATAAACAAACAAACAGTATATCAGTAAGGGGTCTGGTAAAATGGTAAAGTGCCTTCTGCACATTCATGAGGACCTGAGTTTAGCACCACATAAAAAGCCAGGTACAGTGGCATGTGTCTGTTAACACCAGGGTTTGAGGAGCAGGAGCAGAGACAGATCCATGGAGTTGATTGGTCAGTCAGCCTAACTGAATCCATGGGCTGCAAGTTCACCGAGAGACCTTATCTCAAAAATTAAAGTGGGCAAGGGGCTAGAGAGATGGCTCAGCAGTTAAGAGTACATACTGCTCTTGAAGAGGACTAGTTTTATTCCTAACACCCATGTCAAGTGGCTCATAGTCAGCCTCTAGCCTCTGGGGGCACCTGCAACCACATCAATGTACCGACACAAATACATATAATTACAAATAAAAATCAAATCTTTAAAAAATAATATGGACAATGATTGAGAAAGACACATGACATCAACACATACACACACACACACACACACACACACACACACACAGTAGCAGTAAGAACAAAAAGTTCCAATGTTGCCTGAAGAAACCCAGAGAAGCAACCTCAAATCAGACAAGCAGCCTTGATTCCAAGCACAAATGCAAGGGCTCATGTAGGGGTCTCTGGATATAGCACAGTATATCTCTTTTAACTTGATAGCTGTGCAAGATACCACCAGGTTCCACCTCACAGCCCAGGCCCAATGCTGATCTCTGCCACAGAGTTGTGCTTTGTTTTATAACCATCAGAAACCTGCTTCATTGAAATGTCACTGAAGTCTACCCTTTCTCAGAATCTGTAATTTTTTTCCTTTTGTTTCATGTGATAGCCACATGGTCCCTGTTGTGCAGACCCCTTCACCAAATGGTCTGACTTTGACTTTGCCAGACTACAGGTTTGCCCCTAGTGCTCTTAGGTTGACTGGGTTAGAGCAGCGGCTAAAAGAATGAAGGGTCTATCAAGCCCTAAGGAACACTGACAATCACAGCTAACTCAGAAAAATCAAGAGTCAGAAACCTAGTCTTATATAAAGAAATGTGTCATCTTCCTCCTGGTGACTGTAATATTGGGAAAGAGGGCCCGTGCTAACAGTTTTTAAAAGCTCCTGTCAAATTTTGAGCCTAGTAAGTCATTTGTAAGTCTCCATTTGCTCAATCTCCACTCATGTGTCCACTGAGACTATGCCACTGTCCTAGGCTATATGGTAGGAAAACCAAGTAGAATACAAGTCCTTAACCTAGATGGACCGATGATCTAATGACAACAGCAAGGCACCATATGTCACCAGCATGGACTACAAGTTCTAAAACTCAAGTCAATGAAGACAGCTACCCCAGAGGTGGTACAAATGTCTAGTCACTGAGAATGTTTACCAGGGAAAACTTAGCCTTTGCCCCATCCCTAGCCCCAGACATACTTTATCCCAACACCTGACCCCACCTTATACAAACTCTGTCAGGAAATTTGATTTTCCATATCCACCTGTCATCTGCTCTTCTGAATCTATAAGGTTGAACTAATGTTCAGAAAGATTCTAAAGGGCCCTGTCTTTGGGCCATTTTTCTACTCCACAGAGGCCACAAATCTGCATCAATTGTGAAAAGAAAGAGGGAGACTCCAGATGTGATCAGCTGAAGGTACCTCAGGGCACTTCATTTATGAATATTTAGACAGTATTCCTCTTGTTATGAAAATTATGGCAATCTGTTCCCCAGCATGAGTGGTTGATGAATTTCAGTGTCATAAAAGCCTTTTGTTTGGGGGTAGGGTGGGGAGAATGTTCACTGCTTAAATAAATCTAGTTCAGCTGAGCTTCACTCTCACTAAAAAATGCCAATTCACACGAACATTTTTTAAGTCACTATAACTCTGGATCCTGATGTGAGTTTGTAGCTGAACATGCTGAGGAGACAGCTGTTAAGGAAGGAGTGGCCCTCCACTGTACTGCTGGGCGTGTTTTGCCATAGGTTTATCTTCAAGCCAGAAATAAGGAAAGACGCTGCTTGGATCCCTAACTCAGGGTCATTTCCAAAAGCTGCTCAACACTCTGTAACCTTCTACCTGAACACAGATGTGGCATCAACATCCAGAAACAAGGAAATGGTCCAAAGGCAGGGGAAACTGTAGTGGCTTAGGGTACTAATAAATGGAACCAAGGGAGAACAATCCATCCTAGATTTTCCCTTGGCAAGGAAAGCTAGAGGGAGAATGCATACAGTAAAATTCAACTGTGGAAATTCTTGTTCTGGTATCCATAAAAAAATGTCTATCAGTTAGCATCCCTCAAAGCCTTACTGACAGTGATAATTCTCCTTCCTGATCCTCTCTGCCCACTGACAGGCATATTAACATCAATAGCCTACAATGTCACATATACTCATGGAATTGTTCACTTCTTTTGTCTCTCACATCAGGCTGCTCAAGACTTTAAATATAAAAACCTTCCACTTTGAGTCCTACAGCTTTCAAAATTGAATAGAGGATAAAGATGCTGGGAGAATCCTCGGGGTTTTTCTCTAGTGCAACCCTCTAACTACATAAACAACATGGACAGTGGAGATAAAGGCAAGAGAAATCAAATCAAATTATTTGTCTGAGGTCATTTTGGTAGTTAATAACAACTGGTCCTCTAGGATTCTAAGTCAAACACTCCATTTAGCTTCTGTAAGTCTGTTCTTCATGAGTAATCAATTCCCCAACCATGATGCTTCCAGAAAGCCAGGTACATGGATGTAGTTAACTGATATTTATAGGACTGAGCAAGGCATAGGCTAGACCCAGGATTCTCTCATATGCTTAAGGGAGGTGAACATTTGTAAATGCTGTATCACCCAGCCGGAGTAGCCCATCTTGGGCCCTGTGAACTGAAGATCCCAGAAAAAAGCCACATGCATGAGTCTGCAAGGTCTGTTGACTGGTTAGAAATTTGTGAGTATAAAGAAATGGAATGTTTCAGATCTTTAAAAACCCAAATTATCTAGGTCTATCTTTATTCCTCTTAAAAGCCATTTATCACCCACCTCTGTATCAGGTAAAACCTTTGAAATGTATACTTAGTGGATCACTAGCATTCATCAACTCAAAAACTAAGAATGTCATCAGATAATATCTAAAACCTATAGCATAGATTTACATGATTTTCTCAAAACCTGCCTATGTAATGTTCCTACCAATGTATTTGATAAAGCCTTGATTTTTAACTTTCTTTTATTCTGTGAGTATAAAAATGTTCATGTAACTGCTTCCACATTAGAACGTCATTCAGAGTAATATGAGTCTATGTTCCCAAACCATGGGGCACTCATATATGGCTCAGCACCAACTATCTCTATGAGAGCTGTGTTTTTGAGTCAACAGCTCCAGAATTACTCTTAAAATATACTATCCAATATGGTCACCAACAGACACGTATAGCTATTGAGCACTAGAAAACACTAGAAATGAGCACTACTATTCTAACCTGATATGTGCAATACCTGCAAAGCATACATGTGATTGTGAGGACATCACATTTTTTTTTAAAAAGGAAAGTTCCTTATTTAATAATTTTATAGAGATTACATGTTGAAAATATTATTGTGCTGGTTAGTTATTATCAACCTGGCACAAACTAGAGACACCTGAGAAGATGGAACCTCAATTGAGGAACTTCTTTCATCAGATGGGCCTATGGCCATGGATGTGGGACATTTTCTTAACTGTTAACTAATATACGAGGTCTCAGTCCACTGTGGGTGGTACCACCCCTGGGCAAGTAGCCCTGGGCTGAGAAAGGTAGCTGAGAAAGCCAGGAGAAGCAAGCCAGTAAGCATCATTCCTCCATGGCATCTGCTTCAGTTTCTGCCTCTAGGTTCCTGCCTTGGCTTACATGGATGATCAACTGTAAAGTGCAGGATGAAATAAACCCCTTCCTCCCCAAGTTGGTTTTGGTCATTGTTTCATTACAGCAACAGAAAGCAAACTAGAACAATAATATGTAGCTATGTTAAATTTAGATATAAAATGGAACTTTAATATATATGTGTGTGTATATATATATACACACACATATATATATATATATTATAGTTAAGTTCCATTTTTTATGTGGCTACTAGAAATTTTAAAATTACACATATGGTTTGCATGATAGTTCTACTGGCTAGCATCATTCTAAAATACAATTGACCCCATCCCATCTACTCAGCTAATCCTTCCAAAAGACTTGAGTCTCCTGCCTACAAATAGTATAGAAAAGCTATTCAATCAAAGATATGTTGAAGAGGTCAACAGAAATGAAGGGAGAAGAATGTTGGCTGAGTGATAGGCTAAAAGTGATTTAGATCTCTACTTGAAAACCTAGGAATCCCTGAAGAGCTTGAGTTGCCAGTCTTCTGAATCCTTGTGCAACCTTACCTCTGCAAAATACTCTATACCTATGGGTAAACTCTAGCTCTGCAAGCATGAAACATATGGCAAGAAAGAATCAAACTGCCTGAATGAAAAAACAAGAGTTCTGATACTTTGTGCTGCCAGTCTACTCATGGAGATCGAATGAAACATATTTGTGGAACTGGAGAGATGGCTTGGTGGTTAAGAGCACTGGCTGCTCTTGCAGAGGATCCTGTATTAATTCCCAGCATCCACATAGTGGCAAACAACTATCCCTAATTCCAGTTCCAGGGAATTCATCACCCTCTTCTGGGGTGCACTTACACACATGCAGCAAAACACTCATACACATAAAATAATGAAACACATTTGTATGCATTTTTTGATGGATGTAAACAAGCTATCAAAATGATGAAAGGATTTTTTTATAATTAAGGAAACTCACTCTTTGTCCTGCTGTCCATTTCTGTTTTTGACGGCTCTAGAGTTGATGTAGCTGGAGGTAACTTCTTTCCAATTGTCTGAGGGGGGGAAAAAGATGATTTTACATATGAAAATGATTCTCTTCGTTAAACAAAACTACAAAATCAACATCACAATGAGAAAATGCTGAAGCCTGGTTCTAAAAACCATGCCCATGGGTTGACACCGTTCTCTTAAGTACTGGCTGCCACACAATAATGGATCTGATCTTCCCTGACAAACAATGGAGGGAAACTACACAGAGTTTCTTCCGGGAGTGCACTCAGTGTCTTCTATTTTTCTTTGTCCCTTGATGCTCTTAAAATGTTTATTATTATTTTAAGCACAGGAAAAAAAAGTACAGCTCCCTTCACTGTATAAGAAGCTAACCAAATCAATGATGGCCTAGTGTCTGGCCCAGTGGAGATTCTCCAAAGTAATTCCAGGGTGGAAGAATGGAAATAAGGGGAAAGAAATAAAGGGAAGGGAAACAAGGGGAGAAGGCTAGAAGGGCAGATGGGAGGACAGGAAGGTGGGAAGACAGGCAGATACCAGATTGTCCAGGACCATGAGGCCTTATACTGAGCTCCTTGCCATCTAAGATTCCACCTACCTTATGGGGTATGAGCAAACAGACTCTTGTCTTTGAAAATGAGTCTATCTTCCCACACATACACACAAAAAAAAAACCAAGAAGGGTCCCCATCCTTCCCACCAGCTGCTTAGTCAAGGTCTATACCTCAGAGTCTATGCATATACATGCATATTGATGCATTTTTTAAAGGTTATGAGTCCCATCCATTCTTTCATTTGAGGCTAATTCCATTATGGCTTACAAACCAGCCATAGAAAAAAAACTGAATACTGTCTCTGCCTAAAGATGTACCCGAAGACACAGACTACCTAGCAGTTCAGAACCCCAAGCAAACAGATAAACAAACCAACCCAATGGTTCCAGAGATGAGGGCTGTGATCATGATTAATGCCCGAGGAAAAATGTTCACTGATACTAGAGAAACACCTGTCACAACCAAGAATTCAGGTAAACTGACTTCCCCAACAAGGAAGGCCTTCTCCACTAAGAATTCCAGCCATTAGGAGAAACAAATTTCTCTGTCTCTTGAATATATGAAGAGTAATAAGCTTTGTAATTTAAAAGCTGGCATGGTGTAATTTTCCTTCAAATGAAACTCAGTTTTTGTTTTTTCATTTGAAAAGGTTCTTCATGCCGCAAATGTGGAAGCTAGCATTAAATATGAATAAATCACAGAAAGAGGATAAGATAAATCAAATCTTTAGAACTTCATGAATTTTTAAAAATGTTTGTGACAGAAAGCCTTTACATTTTACATGGTGACATTTTTATTTAGTGCCACAAGACGTTCAATATTGGAGAAAAAATGAAAACCCCAAATAATATGCCATCCCTCAACATCCAAGTACTCAAACTAATAACATTTTATGGTTCCAAGGAAACATTGGGGAAGAAAAAGAAAGTTTACTGTTCTGGTATAAGGTCAAATTTGATGAAGAAATAATTTTAGTGTTCTACTGAAAAGTCAGCTATGAGCGGGGAAGCCGGAGGCTGTCCGAACATCAGTTCGTTGACAGTCTAGCTCATACTCCTGACAGCACACCTGCCAATCTCTTTGTTTTTCCCTTTGGGAAGGGGTCTGGGATAAAGCATCACTACTCTTAATATATGAGGGAAAGGCAAACAAAACGACCTAGGACTTCAGTTATCACTGACAGTGAAAAGAGGGAATCAGGAAATGCTACAGTGGGGACTGTTGCCAGTTCTGGCTTTGTTTGCTTTCCTCCCCCTAAAAAAAAATTCCCAAACCCAATAACTCAAAGTAAGGCATGCAATGATTTGGGCTTTAAACCAGATGGCTTCCTTTGGATAAACTCATGCAGATTGCAGATTCTTACAACTTCCCCTTGTTTTTGGTAACCAAAGAAAGTGCTGTTCTCCTGTTTGACATCTTGATTTACAGAATTCCCAAATCATCAGATAGCAAGGAAAACTACAGGTTAAATACACTTAACTTTGGTACAGAAAGACACATGCCGCCGCCGCTCCCCCCGCCCAGTAATGCTTACTTTGCTTTTTCCTTTCACTATTTCAGAAAATACAATGCACTGGCTTCTGTAGGTCCCAGCAACATTGGTCACGAAGCTGATCTTACACTCATCTTCTGGAGGAGGTTGAACCTTACTTAACTCCTTCCTTCTCCTTTGTTGACCATGATTAAAATTCTAGTATGCAGGGCATGTCCGTCCCGGTTTAGCGTCCTGTGGCAGGGATTCCAGACATAGGCAGTGTTGCGGTACTTCTCTGCTCTCTAGAAGCTAGCAACACCTGGAGTGGCTTGCTAACTGGCAGCACTTGAAAACTTGCTAGCCAAGTACATTCCCAGGCCCCGCCCCAGACTTTCTCAATCAGAAACTCTAGGGATGGAGCCTGGCAGTCTCGGAAGAAACACACCCTCCATGGGACTCATGAATGCTCAAGTTTGAGAGCCATCGATCTAGATGTAGCAGGAGCTCTAGTAGTAACAATTAAATGCCTTTTATTGGATTAAAAGTTCAAGTACCTGTTCTCATACCTACATGCAGCATAAAACATCTTTTCACTCTCCATCCTCTCTTCTTTCTCTCCCTTTCCACAAATACTCTGTATTGTCTCTTTTGTCGGAGGTGAACTTACTGCTACTAAACTATACATACACATCTAGGTCCTGTATAACTGAAGGTCAGCTAGAAAACAGGCCTAAGTAGACATTTAAAAAACTCCAGGGAATCCCATGCACACATACTATTGTACTTGGCAGGCAGTGGTGAGAGAGGACCCAGGACCTCCACTTGAAGGCTTCTCCACAAAACGTCAAGTTCTCACCCTCCTGGGTACCCATAAGAAAGATAGTTTATCCAGGACAAGCACTAGTGAGGCACTTATGGGTTTTGTTGACACTACACAAGACGCAGCAGTTCCCAAGAGATCAGCAAGCAGGCTCATTTCACTGTATGCCTTCAGAATGAACACTCTCCAGTTCCGCTCCCTAGCACCACTATTTCCTCTTGCTTTCTGCACAGCGGCTGAAAACTTCACAGTACAAACACCCATGTTGGTCTGGTATGCTTGTGCCCCAGCCCAGAAGCCACTACTTGGTGTGGCAGTGGATATGCATATGGAGGAATGCACAGAGCTGAATACTCAACAAACAAACAATCGCATGGATCTGCTTTAAGACACAGTGATTACTGGGTTGGTATCACTTTTATCTCTCTTAACCATATACCAAATCTCCATTTAAAACCTAGTTTAAAATAATTCATCCATTCCTTTGAACATTTAATAGCATCAATCCCTTTCCCTTTAGTTATGGTCAAATGTACTAGATAAAAAAAAAA